CACCTAATCCTTTCCCTTGTTCAAAACCACTCCTTTCCATTATCTTTTTGGTAATGGAGTTGACATTCTTATTACCCTCCATTTTTCCACTTCAAATGCCTAGAATGATTGTCAAATTATTTTTTTTTTCACTCCTTGTTTTTTTTACAGTATTTCCCTCCCCACAGATCCTTATTGTATATTGTAGGAATGGAATCAAACCATAAATCTTGGGTGACTGGGCCACTCCATGATTAGGGATAAAAAAAAGTCTATGTTACCCAGTCCAAGGCCATTATTAATTATTTTGGTGATATACAAAAATATTAATAATGTGCATAAAAAGATTTGGTGTACTTTATACAATGTGATAGTCCAATAGGGTTAAGAACCCTTGAACTTGAGGGAAGGTACTAGTCCAATTCATTGTGGCACATTTTAGGTGTAATGATATTAAAAAGGCCACTGTGGTTTATAGTTTGTTACTCCTAATCTAGGAATTTTAATGTAAACAAAAAATAATGCATGAAGAAATGTATATTCTCCTTTGTGCCTTATAGGAGACATGTCCAAATGTAGGATATCATATATTGCCTCTTATGGTGGCTACTAGATTCATGTAATGTGTAAAGTTCTTAAGGTAGATCTAATATATCCTAAACAAGGTCCCCAAGTTGCTTTCACCAGAGAGATGAAAAATCTACTTAACAAATTTAACCCTATAAGAGTTTAATAACTCTTCAAGGATTAAATTTTTTAAATAAATATCGACTTAGGTGAAGTATTCACGATGACTTCAAGGGACTTTAAAGTCCCTCAGGGAAATTGTTACTAACTTATACTAACTTAGGGTACTCTCTAACCTGGGTATAAGGCCCAAAATGTGTGTGAGGTTGGATGTGTGAGTGCTTAGTGTGTGTGGAGAAAATATAAACATGTTAACCAAGAAACTACAAGATATCACGAAAGTTAAATCATCTAATTAAGAGAATAAAGAATACAAAAAAAGTTTAAATAAAAAAATTAAAAAAGGATAATCAAAATAAAAAAGGCCAAATAAATTCATACAATTAACTTGAATAGGTTTGACTCTTTGATGTAAGTTCCCAATAGAGTTGCCAATAGTCATAGCCGATCTAAAATTTCTCGAGAAGGAAAATTGAATAAAAAATATAAATATCACCAAAAATTTATAAGTAGTTTTGAAAACCTTTTTAACGCGTGGCTTACGTATAGAGAAAAGGGTAAGGGAGTTGATTGTATGTAGGAAAGGTGTTAGGCACCTCACAATACTCATTTATGTGAATGGTTACCTTAAGTTAATTATATAAATTTAAATGGCATTAAAAATATTAATTATCCTTAAAAATAAGATAAAAAATAAGAAAATTAAGAAGGAAAAATTTATTTATTTATAAGTTGAACTTGAATTAAGATGAAACCCTAAGGTCTACGTACCCTTTAAGAAATCAAAGTTCACATAGTTTGGGGTAAAAATGCATGTCTATTGGTTGAGATTTTTTAGGAAAAATATTAATTTGTTAGAAAATAATTTTTAATGTTGGTTTGTAGTTTTTTATTTATGAAAAATATTTTATTTCTTTATTTGTGACAAAATCTTAAGGGATAATTTTGTGAAAAATATTTTAATAAGATTTAAGAAAGCTACGGGGACTCTGAAAGTCTTACACAACTAATAATTTTAAAACTATGTACATACGATAATTCATCGCTATGCATCAAATGGATATAAATTTGGAAGGCTGTCAAAATATTAATAAAAAATTATTGATGAAATAAAATTGAATACGTGTAAATGCCCATGCCTTATTCAGCAAGAGAGTGAATAATTTTCTCCAGTTATAATATCATGCACATGAAGACAAAGGAATAGGATTCAAGATGAGATAGGAAAAAGAAAAGAAGTACACAGGGATTATAACAAGTCCACATGGTACTATCATAAGGAGACAAAAGAATTGCAATACATATGGTAGTTAGCAGATATTAAAATCAAGCTCGTAAGCAAAGATTTAAATTTCTAAAGTGCTAAGGCTTAATGGAAGGTAAGCTTACCTCTATAAATCTCAGTTGACTTGAATCTTTATCATTTCCTCTTTCCTTCCTTGAGTTTCTCTCTCAGTCTGTTATGCTCTACCTTTGCTTTCCTTTATATAGACCCATTCATCTAGGGTTTTCTCATATCTCAATCCTATCGTGATCAATATTAGTATTTTATATATTATTATTATTATTATTATTTAGAGATTGGATATTAATTGTTATCTTTTCTATTATTATATCCTGATTATTATATTATTTTGAAATCTTCTAATCTTAATATTAGATATTAGGTTATCTTGAAATTTTCAAATTATAATATCATATTATATTATATTCTGATTATTTCAAATATTATACTATAATCTAGCATGAATTTTTTTTATCTTTGTGCCCAACTTATATATATATATATATATATATTTTCTTGTTGTAAAATTTTATTTTTTATTCTTATTATTTTTAGTTTTTATTTATTTTACTATGAATATTATCTTATTTACTTATTAGGACTCCAACAAATACAATGTTCACAATGATAGTATAACTATCAAATATATATTAAATACTTGACAGCTGTTTTGAAACAACAGTCAAGTATTTAGTACCTTTTTTTATTTGTCAATTTTAACTTATAACTGTCAAATATATGACATCATATTTAGCTTATTCTGTTATAATGAGTTTTCACTCGACCTCCAACTAAACTCAAGTTCACCACTGGTGTCACTCGTCTCTAACTCTCGAGCTCAACCTGTCCAATCCACTCTCCTCTTATTTTGAGTTATCAATACTCTCATCATCAACATTACAATATAAAGTTGAAGATTGAAGCTAAAGGCTTGACTCTGCCCTACTAGTGACTCTTCTCCCTCTCCCTTGTGCCATGATCTCCTTCCACTCCAAATCCAAAGTTGAGGCTAGCAGAGTTGTCATCACCATTGCCTCAAACTCAAGGAGCCACAATCATTGCCTCTGCTTCTCTTTCATGCTACTTTTTCAAGTAAAGTCTTTAAATTTTGCATGTAATTTTTTTTATTTTTTTGTTAAAACTTAAAACATTAATCATATTTTGTTCTCCTTAAGTGATCAAGTTCCATTGTAATAATAGAATCACATCATGATTCTATATTGAAGGGTTAAATATATACCATTGTTAAAAAAATAGAGAATAACATATAAGACCTCTTGCAAAAAAAAAAAAAGAAAAAAATAAACAATTTGTTGTCCTTGAAAGTTGAAACTTATTAACCATTAGAATTTTATAGCATGTCATCATATTTTCCTTAAATTATGATATATTTTATCTCATTTGTATATATTTTGATTACCTAAATTAAGAAAATGTGTATCTTGTTTTGGGTTTGCATACTTGGCTTTAATTCAAAACTCTGGGGTTAAGTTTATGTTATTTTGGTTTAAATTTTAATTAGATGTATTTTTAGACATTTGTTGATGCTTTTGGAAGGCTTTCAGATGAAGAAATCAATTGCATAAAGGCTAAGTTTCATTAACAGTGAAAATAGTGTAAAATTACTAAAGTCATCCTTAAAGTCGTGACCTTCGTTCGTGACTTTTGCTTCTATTAGTAAAACACTCCATTTTATTTATCTGAAAATGCTTGTGTAGGATGCATGTATACTAAAAGCTCAACCCAGAATGCATTCTGCACACTTGAAGACACTTTGGGACCTTAGTTGTGCTAGGGTTTAAGCTTTGGATGAGTTGAGTTTAGGGGTTGACGCTTTGAAGATATTTGAGGCTCCATTTCTTCGATTCCTTTGTTTCTTCTCCATTTCTCTCCTTGTAATCTAAACATGGCTATGAATATTTTCTATATTTGTAGCTTTTTGATATTTATAATTAGCTAAACTTTTTGATCTAGGATTATTTTAAATTCTTGTATGAATTAACACTAAGTTCCTCCTCTTTTTTATGATTAATGATATATATGTATTTATTTTACTCCTTTATTAATGCTTATAAGCGTTTAACCACTATTTAGATATTGGGTTGAATTGATTGATACTTGAGAGAACTAAGTCGAGTATAGAACTGGGGTAAAATAGTATAAGAACTTAATATTTGTATATTGAATGGATAGTTTTACTAGTAAGATAGAGATATATTTGCTAACCTTGTATAGTCGCATTAGAGTTAGTGTTTAAAATTGGGTTTTCTTGATTGCAACAAGAGATCGGGCAATTAATTTAACTAAGCACTTGTTCATAACTTGAGAGAGCTTGTTCAAGTATTTTTAGAATCCTAGATTAGTACTTATCTTCATTAAAAGCATTTATGAGAGGAGGTAATTTCGGAGTAATGAAATGTAAGCAGAATAAATAATCTTAGGGCTCAATTTATTCTTGAAGTTTGTGAATCATTCAGTTTTCTTCATTTTCTAGTGTAAATTAATTTAAAAATAAACTTCACCTAATTATATTTTGTTCAATATAAATATACCATTAAACATGATAATGATATAAACCGATGCAAAATTCATCACTTATCAAGTAAGCAAGGAAATATTTTCTAGTGAATTCTATTAAAAAAGAAAATCAAAAAACAATCCCTAAAAGAAAATTCCAATGTGTTCACTATTATAGAAATAGGTTATGAGAGTGCCCATACAAAAGCATTTTTAAGATAAAACGTTCTTAAAACATAAGGCGGAACATACCAGAACATTTTTAAATAAAAAAGCTCTAATAGACTATTGCCTTTGAGAGCGTTTATGGGCTGAAAAGCTCCCGTAGGTGTAATTTTAAAATTTATTTTTTTTTGAAAAGCTTATAAGAGCTTTTTGGATAAAAATTTTTCTCGTAGATCAAAGCTTATGGGAGGTTTTTTTAGTTTAAACGCCCCCATAAGCCCAATATTTTTTTAATTTCAGATTTTTTTTTTAACATTTTAATGCTTCGGTTTTTACCCCAGTGCCCACTCTATTCGAAACCCTTACCTCACTTCAGTAATTTCCTCGCTGTTCTTCTCGTCCTTTGCTGCTCAAGCTCGATGCCTCCCCCCAAACTAGATCTGCGACCCAAACCAGATCTACTGCACTAAGCTCGCCACCGGTCCTCTTCCTTTAGCTCGATGCTGCTGCTGCTCGTCGAAGACTTGCCATCGTGTCGCCACCGTGTTCTGCTGAAGCTGGTCTCTGATGCCATTTCTGGTAAAGCTCTTCTTCCCTAGCTCGTAGAACACCAGTCATGTAGCTCTTCTTCCAAATTCGATCATTTATTCACTATTTCTTCAGGTTCAGATTTAGTCACCGTGCTCTTTTTGTCTTCTTTTCTACTTGCCTTGGCCCTCAGAATTTGTAAGGACCTAAGGATTGGTTGAAAGAGCAAAAGAAAATGTAAGAAAAATTTTTATAGCCATAGCTTAGCGGAAAGAGTAAGAACCAGAAAATGACCGATCCTTTTCTTTGTGGGCTTTTCTTACGGCAATTAAACAATGCAAGCTCTGTTTCGTCTTGTAGGTTAGAAGGGAAAAGATTAGAGAGAGAATGAAATAATTGCAAGGTTTAGTACCAGATTGTAACAAAATCACAGGAAAAGCAGGCATGCTCAATGAAATCATCAATTATGTTCAATCTCTTCAATGACAAGTAGAGGTTAGACATTACCCACTTCATCATTTTCCGTTAGGTTGAAGCTACAAGCAAAGACACTACACAGATCCAAAGGGCTTGTGACTCATTATTCTGGATCTCGGTTCATTTTTTAACTTTATTTCCTAGAACATTCTTTTTTTATTAACTGAGTTCCTAGAACCTTCATAGGCTAGTTTCCCATGAAATTTTGTTAGACAAAAATTATTTTCTTGCTTGCTTCCAAGCTTAAAAATGTGTACATGCTGTGTTACTTTTGTAAACGAGCCGTTTTTCTTTTTTTTTGGTGAGAAAGGACCTGTTGATCATGAGATATGCCTTTCATGCTCATTGATGGATACCGACTTCTCAATTGATAGTAAATAGATTTTGACATGGGATTTTATATGGAATCATGCTTTATCAAAACTTGGTGGCTTCATTTGATTAAAGGTGGACGATGTTCTTCATTTTAATTTCTATTAATAGTTAGGGTTAAGACCATGTAGATGTAAGAGTGATTTTCTGCTTAAAATATGCCCTTTTCTGCAATGGCAGGAAATGATGAAACATTGAACTTTTTGAACAAATGTTGTTGGATCATGTTGCTTCTATAGTTGAGTTTTCCTACTTAGGTGTAGTCACCAGAAAGCTTTTGTTTTCACATTTTTTTTTGTGAAAAATGCCCTTGTTTGTAGTTACTCTTGCATTGCTATATTGAAGTGACCACTTGTTCCCCTTTAGCGTTGTTGGCTATTCATGAGGTGCTCCTTTCAATTAAATTTATTGGGTACACTTTCATGCAGGAATTTCGCCAAAAGACAATTGACATGGTTTCAAAATGAACATTTTAGTTTATTGCCATTTTGCCTTTTCTCTTATAGTTGTGGGACAAACAATAAACTATCATGATAAAATCTTTCATCTTATTTATCTCAGAGATATACAAAACTTTCCATAATCTTGTACTGAATAGCTTATTGCAGGACACTATTGTAGACTTTATCTATGAAGCTTACCATGATAAGAGTGGAACTCTCATTGTTCCTGAACAGTTGAGAATGTCTAGAGATGTTTCTAATGGTCGAGAAGCTAATGACCTCAAGGTCTACTACTCCAAAAATAGGTATATTTTTAAGAAGATGAAATGATGACAACGTCCCCTTGCCTTGACTCCTCTAATCTTGACATTGAATTTGTTGCATATAGGGGTGTTTATGAGAGCAAAATTAGATTTGGTACTTGAAATGTTGGGACATTGAATTGCAAATCTGTAGAGGTTGTAGGGGTTATGATTCAAAGGAAAATCAATATCCTTTGCCTGCAAGAAACAAGATGGCGTGGAGAAGAAGCTAAGGATATTCAAGGTTTCAAACTTTGATATACAAGAAAAGTAAGTACACGCAATGGAGTAGGCATCATTATAGATAAGGAGTGGAAGAAGAACGTTGTAGAAGTTAGTAGAATTGGAGACAGAATTATTTCCTTAAAAATGATAATTGGACGTAAGACTGTTAATATTGTTAGCGCTTATGCGCCGCAAGTCGGGACAGAAGCCAGTCTTAAGGAATTATTTTGGGAGGATTTGGAGGGGTTGATTCGACGCATACCACAGAGTGAAAAGATTTTTATTGGAGGAGACTTTAATGGGCATGTCGGGAGGGAAGTTGGTCAGTATGCGAGGGTGCATGGTGGTTTTGGTTTTGGAGAGCTAAACAATGAAGGACAAACTCTTCTTGATTTCTCATTGGCGTATGATTTTAAGATTGCCAACACTTGTTTCAAGAAGAGAGATAAGCATCTCATCACTTACAAAAGTGGAGCCTCAAGGTCACAGATTGATTTTCTTTTGGTTAGGAACACAGATAGAAGACTTTGTAAAAATTGCAAGGTGATCCCTGGAGATGCTGTAACGACACAACATAGGGTCTTAGTTCTTAATGTGTATTTTTTGAGTAAAATCCAAAAACGTCGACAAGTAGTAGCACCAAGGATTAGGTGGTGGCAATTAAAAGGTGAAAAGCAAGATATTTTCAAGTGAAATCTTTTGGATAAAGGAATTTTGGAATTTCAAGGAAGTGCTAACATCATGTGGGAGGATATGGCTAAAAAGATACGGGAGGTTGCAAAAGTAGTTTTGGGAGAATCAAAAGGTTTTGGTCCGAGAGATAAGGAGTCTTGGTGGTGGAATAATAGTGTACAGGACAAAATCAAGTATAAGAAGAACTGTTTTAAAGCCATACATTTGTGTAACAATAAGGAAAATTGGGAGAGGTACCGTATGGCTAAGAAGGAAACTAAGAGAGCTATGGGTGAAATTCGTTCTAAAGCTTTTGAAGAATTTTATAAGAGCCTTGAGACGAAGGAAGAAATATTTATAAGATTGCCAAGAGTAGGGAAAGAAAATTAAGAGATTTAAAATAGGTAAGGTGTATTAAGGATGAAGAGGGAAGAACTTTAGTTATAGATGATGAAATTAAAAATATATGGGAGACTTACTTTTCTAAACTTTTCAATGATGGAGAGGGTTCATCTAGTAACTTGGAGGATTTAGTAACTAGTGAAGGAGAACAAAATTTGTCATTCTATCGAATAATACGTGATAAGGAGGTAAAGGAAGCTCTTAAGAAAATGGCAAATGGTAGAGCCAACGGACCTGATTGTATATCTATCGAAGCGTGGAAATGTTTAGGTGAAGAAGGGGTGAGATGGTTAACTAAGTTATTTAATGTGATTTTACGGTCCAAGAAAATGCCTGATGAGTGGAGGAGAAGTACATTAATTCCTATTTATAAAAATAAAGGAGATATTCAGAATTGTACTAACTATAGAGGGATTAAACTCATGAGCCACACAATGAAATTATGGGAGAAAGTAATTGAGCACAGGTTGAGATTGGAGACAAGTATTTCTGAAAATCAATTTGGTTTTATGTCAGGTAGATCAACTACGGAGGCGATTTATCTACTAAGGGGATTAATGGAAAAGTATCATTGTAAAGATAAAGATCTACACATGGTTTTTATTGATTTGAAAAAAGCTTATGATCGTATACCAAGAGAAGTGCTTTGGAAAGCATTAGAAAAAAAGGAAGTACGGATTGCTTATATTAAAACCATACAAGATATGTATGAGGGGGTAAAAACTAGTATAAGAACGCCTAGTGGTCAAACAAAGGATTTTCCTATAAAGATTGGACTACATTAGGGATCATCTCTGAGTCCTTATTTGTTCAACTTGATCTTAAATGTTTTAATAGAACATATTTAAAGGGAAATTTCAAAATGTATGCTCTTCACGGATGATATAGTTCTTATAGCAGAGACAAGAGAAGAGGTTAATTGCAAACTTGAGTTATGGAGGAGGACATTGGAGTCGAAAGGTTTTCGTCTGAGTAGAAGTAAGACGGAATATTTATATTGTAAATTTGGTAAAGGACTATTCGACAATAATTTGGAAGTGAAACTAGGAGACCAAATTATACCTCAAGTGAAAAAGTTTAGATATTTGGGAGCCATTATTCAAAATGATGGCGAAATCAGTAGAGATATTTCACATAAAATTCAAGCTGGGTGGTTTAATTGGAGAAAAGCTAAAGGAGTTATTTGCGACCGTAAGGTGCCTAATAAACTTAAAGGAAAGTTTTATCGCATTGCTATCAGACCGGCAATGTTATATAATAGTGAATGCTAGACTCTAACGGGACAGCAAGAGCATAAAGTTGGAGTAGCAGAGATGAGAATGTTACGATGGATGTGCGGACATACACGTAAAGATAAAATTCGAAATGAGCACGTACGCGAAAAAGTGATGGTGGCACCTATTGAGGAAAAAATAGTAGAAAATCAGTTGAGATGGTTTGGACATGTACAAAGAAGACCAAGGGAGGCACCAGTGAGAAGAGTGGAACATATAACTTTGAGTCCGATTAAGAGAGGTAGAGGAAGGCCTAAGAGAACACTCTTAGAAGTTATTGAACGCGATCTCTTAATTAATAATATTCATAAAAGCTTGATAAATGATAGAGCACAATGGCGTCTTGCAATCCATGTAACCGACCCCACCTAGTGGGATAAAAGCTTGTTGTTGTTGTTGTTGTTGTTGTTGTAGGGGTGTTTATGGGACGGGACAAGACTGGGACATCCTTGTCCTATGTCCCGTATTGAAAAAAAGATCAGGACTGAATTTTGGTCTCGTGTCTCATTCCGTCCCAAAAGTTATCCCGTCCCGTTAGGAGTCAGGACAGGATCGGGACAAAATCGGAACATCCTGCCGCCCTGATAAATGGGATAATATCAAATAAAGATCTGGTGGATAATAACGTTCATTAAAATTTTAAATCATATAATTTATTAAGTTTAAAATCAAAATAACACAAGTACATAAATCACATTAATTTAAAGTCAATTATTGAATTATATTAATCACAACTACATATTATAATAGCAAATACAAATGATCCTTATGCTATAAGATTAGCAACAACAGGCAAGTCAAATACAACATTAAATCATTGTTTTCTACTTTAGTGGAGATGTACTAAGCTAATTACTCTTCTAAAAATAAAGCAAGAAATGTATTATAAATAAAAGTTATTAAATAAATAGATATAAGAATAAATTATATTAATATAATTAATATATTGTAAAGAAAGATATCATCATGTTTACTCCATATTATTAAAATTATCAATATAAAAAAACTTTAATTTTAAATAAGAATTGCAAGTATTGAAATTATAACTGATATAATTAATATAAGTATAAATTATATTAATATAATTAATATATTTAAAATAAAAAATAATATATATAATATTTGGGACGAGACGAAATGTCCCAATGGTAATCTTGTGTCCCATCCCGTCCCAAATCCCTTTCTTATCCCGCCCCATAAAATCCCATTCTGATTATTTTCGAGCCGGGACAAGACTCGTCCCGATATTATCAGGATGATATCAGGCCAATTGGGATGAGTGCAAGCTGAATACCCCTAATTGCGTAGGCTTTTCTTGAATAATGAAAATTGCTTTATTCAAGAAAAGCCTATACATTTTCAACCTATTCTCATTGAATGTGTAGGGATTGCAGCAAATTCTTCCATTTTCATTATGTAAAGCTGATTTGCAGAACCTGTACAATGTGGCTTTTGATCAAGCCAGAACAACCCTGACGTCCTTTCCTTCTCAACCATTCACAAGTAGCTACAAAATTCATGTACTGTCAAATCACTTTTTTCCCTCTATAACCTGATATCTTAGAACTTGAAAGTAAATATAAAGTAGGAAGGATTTTTTAATGTTGTGACAGAGACATGAGACTAAGAGCGGAGAGCCCTCCACTGACATTGATGAGTGCATATGAGTTGTGAGACCTCTTTTTAATCTTTCTGACTCTTCTTTCCCTTTCCCACTTCTTTCTCTCATAGAAATAGCAAGTAAAGGTAGTGGAGACTTTTTGCCCAATGCACGCAGTATTTAATGCTTCTTGGTGTTTTTGCATAACATGACAAAAGATATAATTAGCATATGAATATCACATTAATTAATAATTTTTCAATACATCATAATCATGGGGTTAGGATTAAGCATCTGGAATAGAAAATTGATCTTTGACTTGCTTAACATAGACTTGTTTCTGAATGTCTTGTCATGGTATATACGTGCAGGCGTAATTGAAGCTAGCAATCTAAAGATGGAGATGTGAAAAAGCTGATGTTATGCTCCAGCTTGTCGGATGAGATAAGGGAATTTGAATTTAGTCCTAGCCTTCACAAAAAGGATGTCTTTTGCATCTTTGAGAAAAAAATACAGGCTCAAAGTAATATGCCTAATGTTATATATTATTTTGAAAAAATTTATCTCAACGGGACGTGAACAGAGAGGTATGGACTTTGAACGGTGTGTTTATTCATAATTAATATGATATTTATGGTTTAATTAAATTATTTTTCTTTATATTTTGCAGATAGAATATGAACGGATACTTTGCAACTAAGTAAGAATAGCGTTAGATGTATTTATTTGTACCATGTAAGTATGAGAGTATTGCAAATGTTTTTAATTTCTTAGGTTGTAATCTACATTATAATATTATGTATATTGTAGTATTGCAAATTATTTAGTTGAACGTTTGTATATAGTGAAATTGCTTGTGTATTTATATTAATTGTGTAAAGCTCTCGTAGGATACCTACGGGAGCTTTTCCTTCCCTATGGGAGCATTTGAAAAATGCTCCCGTCTATACAGGAGCTCCTACTTTTAGAGCGTTAACAAAATGCTTTGAAAATATAAAAAGAAACGTTCCAAAAAGCTATTTTTGTTGTAGTGGTTCAAACTATTGGAAACCTTGGAGGGGCCTTGCAACTGTGCAAGTTGAAGGATTAGATTGGGCTTGAAGGCATTCAATTTTTTTTTTTTTGATGACTTTAAACCATTGCTTATTAAATTATTTTGGTCTTGTAGTTATAACCATTGACCAAAGAGTTTGATAGTCCTCCTAAGAAATGGATAATTCCCCACAGTTTCAAATTTATTTGAACCATACAACAATCATAACAATATTAATATATTTATCTATCTAGAAACTATTCCAGCTAGGTTAGCTACTTCAACAAACATAAAAAAGTACTTAAAATTAAAGGCAAATAATTTTTTCCCAACGATTACTAATTTGTCCATCTATTATCAACATGATTCTTCAAAATTGCTTGCCTCACTGACATGAAGGCAAACAGAGTCTAGATGTAGAGTGAATATCCCATAGCTAGCTGCATATTAGAAATGAAGATGAAGGGGTGAGTCAAGGAGATTATATTAGTGAATATGCATCAATAGAGTGATATCACACGCACATGTTTCTTACATATTATTTGATCCTAGTATGACCCTAAAATTGAACTTATTTAAACTATCTTTCACACACACACAAAATTTAATAATTTATCCAAATGAATAATTAGGAAAAGTTCAATTGGTGCAGAGTTTGGTTCTTGTATCCAAGAATTGAAAAAATAATTATTACATTAATTAAAAATTGCACATATCCATTAAGAGAAATGCTTCATTATTATATTTTTTTTCTAATTATAAAAATACCTGTGATAAATTGGTGATGTCATTTCTCATTTATGCTATCATTGTAAACTACAATCTCCTTTCCTTTAGCTTTTCTATCATCTTCTGAACCTCCTGGGATTTCGGCCCCACTGATGAGAGTCATATTTTGTTGTTGCTGGCATTCTGACATGCAAACACAAATTAAGATAAATTTGTTTTAACTTTCATTTGTTCAACTTACATTAATATAGCGAAATATTTATAGTTTCATGAAATCTATAGGTCTATTACCTGTTGGAATTGCTTGTTCCAAATCAATCGAGTTCATATTCAAACTGCAAAATCAATTGCAACCAATTATAAACTTGAATGTAATCTCATATCAATTCAGAGGAATAGAAAAGAATGTGAAAGCATACCTGAACAGATAAATCCATAGTCACAAGATTCCATATGTTGATGGATTGGCGTACCGTGATCTTCCAAATTATAAACATTGCAAACTTCCTTATGGTTCTCTGGAAGGAGTCAAAGAATTAGTTTCTCATTATGCTCAATCTGTGGATCACGGCCTCTATTTATAGACTTAAGTTTGTGTTATCTATGGTTTGGCCCATCAACAAATTATAAATATCGCTCCAGTCTGTACACATTAATTTCATAATAATTACACTCCCTTAAGCCTTAAAACTTTTTCAAATAGACCACTTTATTTAGGCTAAATTATAATAATGGCCACACGATACATTTTTTATTTTTACATGTGTGGCCTCATATGTTAATTTTGTTCCAAAATTACCTTGTTGACTAGTTGAACCCTCTGACAATGGTGTCTCCCAGCAAGGACGCAATGAGAGCCACTTGTTTTCTTCAAAATTGTGACCTGTTATAGTTACATTATTCTTTTTAAGAAATCTGTATATATACTATTGAGTATACTCGTTGATATTACCATATCATATATGCATGTACCTTGGTGTCATCACCATCATGCTTTGTAAATGGTAACACTGGTAATTAAGTATCATTTGCATTCAGATTGTCAAACATTGCTTCAACAGAAAAATTCAAGGAGAGCCACTTATATCCATTATTTATATCATTTGCTGTCACACAACAGTATATTTGTTGTGCTTAGATAGAGTTTTGAAGCACCTTTGAGTTATTAAGTTGAATAATGAATACAACTATGTAGGCCAATTATAATAGTACATGTAACCTATCTTGGTTGGCCATGGCATTAGCATATACCTAAAAGTCATGAAGGATTAGGACAAGTAAACTAGGTTTCTACTGCTATTATATTCTCTTTTATAGTCTTTTACATAAGATGCTAGTGGAACTTGAAATGCATGAAATGGTAAATAGAAAGTTGACAATGGGAAAAAAGGATAAAATTATAACATAAGGAAATATGTTATATATCAAAAGTTGTATTCATATAGAAATTGGTAAAAATGTAGTTTAATATTGAAGCCAGTGGGTTGAATTTGTACCTTGATTATTAATTATTTCACTAGTAGCATTGGAAAATTGGACTTCAGGTGTGATTGTGTCATTCTCATTATGATTGATTGAGCAATTTTTTCCTCTTTTTGCATCTACAGGTAGCTGAACTCTGCAAGTAAAATGTCATAAATTGAAACTCAATTAACAAGAAAGTCCAAAGTTATATGAAGTGTTAACATAAATATATATATATATATATATGAGCTTACTGATGCAATATTGTCATCCCCCATCAGCATTCGTTTCTTGCCAAGTGCTAGTTCTTTCTGATTTATCCTTGTGCCGAATTGTTCTATTGAAAGACAATTATTTTGTTCCAAATTACATCGATTAGTGCTTTACAATAGAGAATGAGAACAAAATTTTGTTGACAGTTAATTTGCCTATGTTCTTTTAACTGTTATGACATACATATTTAGTTTTAACTGAAATATTTCTTGATATATTCCAAACTATAATTATTTTCCCAAGTCACATACATTATTTTGTCTTGGCATTGCTAATTGGACATTATGAATTATGATCAAGAGAACTTTAAATGAATAAAATCATGCATATATCAAAATTATGTGTGAACATACAAAATTCAGCAACAATGGGCTTGTTTGTTTTCAGATTTTAAAAACTGTTTTTTTTTAAATAAAATTTTTTCAAAAACCTGTTTGGATAAGTGTTCTCAATCTAACTGTTTTCAAAACTGATTTTTTTTATTTTTTAAAAATAGAAATACTCAAGTTGTTTTCATTTTATTTTTCTTGTTCTCAAAGCCCATTACATTTGATTATTAGAAATTATAGTCCCCTTGATCAATTTCTATAACAAATTACCATCATTAACTACTTATAACCATTACGTTATTTTTTTCATTTTAAAATAACATAACCAAACTAATTTTTATTTTATTTTGTTTGAAAAAGTTCTAAAAATTATATTACAAAACATTTTTTAAAAACAAAAAATAAAAACAGAAACCAAACGGGCCCAATGTCTCTATTACAAGACAATTTTTTCTTGTAAATAAATGAACGAATGAAATGTAAATAGTTATTTCTAACAATTATTGCTATATATTCAATGTCAAAAACGACCTGTTTCTTTGGCTAAAATGGATCTTTATAAGTTTAAACGGTTGGATAAGAAAAGCAAGAGGAAAATAATAAACATGGAGAGGTAAAGTAATTGTCTGGTTTCTGTTTTTAAAAAACAAAAACTTGTTTAGATAAGCATTTCCAATTTAATTGTTTTCAAAAATGTTCTCATGAAAACAAAAAATAGAAACATTTTAAAACTATTTTCATTTTATTTTTCTCATTTTCAAAATACATTACATTTTATTAATGAAAATTACAATTACCATGACCAATAATTATTATAAGCCACCACTATAAACTGTTAGTAATCATCTCGGTCAATTTTTTAATTTTAAAATTGTTTTCAAATTAACACAGCCAAATATATTTTCTTTTTTCATTGTTTTGAAAAAAATTTTGAAAACTACATTCCAAAATAATTTTTAAAAATTAAAAAAAGAGAATGGAAACCAAACAAGCCCTAAATTAACGTTGATGATGGCCCATCATTGCTGGTGTATTCTGAATTCATATCATCATTATCCTCCTTTGGGGTGATCTCCTTGATTTCATAATCTATATATTAAAAAAGATTTGTTTCTTTGGAAAAAATGGGTCCTTATCCATTCAAAAGATTCCATAATAAAAAAACATTATTGAATCAGATTAATAATAAAAATTGAGGGAAATTATGCAAATCAAAGTTGATAATAGTATAAGAGAAAATGCCAAGATATCATTACCATCACTATCCATGTATCTTGAATTTATACCTTCACCATCATCCTTGATCTCTGTGATTCTGTAATCTATATGTTACAAAAATACAATCACCAATTAATACTTTTATTCTGGACAACGATTCAAGTTTGTAAACCACAACTAACAAGGTAAGTGACAATCTATATGTCTATTACCTTGGTGACTAGTAGACCCATTATAGAAGGGTGTTTCCCCACAAGGAAGCAATGAGGGCCAATTATTATCTTTAGTATTTTGACATGCAATTTACATTATTCTATTTGATTAGATAGAGATTTGGATAATGATGAAGTAAATTAGTTTATTATTAGTATTTTATAAATGTACCTTGGTTTCTGAAGGTCTCATGAGAATACCTATGATAGCATGGATAATGGAATAGTACTCAAAAGGTCGATCGCTACTACAAAATGAATAAAAGTTAAAAAATGATGCCTTAAATTTATGATTTATGCAAAAAGGTGTGGTTTAAATCAAGGCAGAAGAAATATTTGACAATTCTCAAATTAATAATAAAATATGTTAATAATAAATTTGATTTTTAATGAAATAATTGTCAAATATTGTTAACAATTTTTTATTTTTAGAAGTATTATTCATATTTATTTGAGAAAATAACATTTAAGTCCCTCTTAAAGGAAAACATGGATATGTTATTAAAAACTGAACCTTAACTTTGAGAAAGCCCTAACAAAAAATCCATGTTTAGCTTAGCCCAAACAAAAAATATAAATTAAGGTTCAGCTTTTAAGAATAATAATCCATGTTTTCACAAGATAATATCCCTTGAGAGGGCTTGAACATCATTCTCCCTATTTATTTGATAGTTATCATGTTCAACTGTCTATGGAAAAAGAATTTAACAGTTTTTTTATAGAATTAAACCATCAAATATATTATTAGATATCTCATAAGTTTCTATTGTTATTCTAAAGTAGCCTCTGCTCTAAAAAAATCTCTCAAGTATCATAGCAAGTGAATGTAAGCATGTACGTATGGTGATTTAAATTCTTAAATACATGACCTTTGAATTGGTATTAATTGCTTTTTGTGTTATATGATCCTTTTTACTATTCCCTACACCTTGTAAATTTGCTTAAATCCACTCATTACTGAATTATATAACCTACTAAGCACTTTAATTAGTCGGGGTGTGAAAGGATGGAAATATATGCATGAAGTACATTGCTGCAAATGTTGTAATTGTACATCCTCGTATTTCAAGAACTCTGCAGAATATTCAAAGATTATTCTTTATGAAAATTAAAATGAGTTTTCTTTTCATAACTTTGCCTTAAAAAAAATTTAAGAACAATAATCTGCCCCTGTAAGGCAAGCAATATATTATATATTGCATTAAAGAGAAAAACAAAAAAAATTAAAAGATATAAATAATTAAAAAGTATAGTCACATGAAATTCACAAGAATAGGGACAAGAGAGCATTATTACCTTGGTCTCCACTAGTTGAATCCAATCTTTCATATGGATCTGTGAATCTGATATGTTCTGTCTCGCAAAGTTGTTTCATTAAATAGACTCCGAACTCTTCTACTCGCTTCGGGGTCAGATTGAATGAACATGGAATATGTACATGATTCCAGGAATTTTTTTCGGAAAGCTTGTTTCTTTTGATAATTCTCAATATTGAAACTCTCCACAACTATGTGATCAGCATCACTTCGTTGACTCGAAATCCTCAACCGACACAAAAGTACAAGTTCGTTATTGATGTAAACCCACGGTGCCACAGCATCAACATATGGTTTAAGAAGAGCAGAAAGGTACAGACATGGGAAGCAGTTACGAAACCAAAAAGAAATAGATTCTCCTTTGCTACAAATATCAAACCACTTTGGAATGCTTGTCCCTGGCACTTCAAAATGGACATAGGAAGAGTGTTTGTGTGGAGCTGCAAGTAATTCCTGTGAATCAAAACGAAGGTTGAGCAACATGCACAACAAACTAAAGAGCTGTGAATATCAGACAATTATAGAGAGAAATTGACCTCACTCAATAACAATCTTCTCGACTCTAAACTCAACGAAAAGCAATTTTTCGCTCTAAGATCTATTAAGTTTGGCGGAATCCCTTCAACCTCTCTCAAATGCTTGCATTCCTCCAACAAAATATCCGTCAAATGATGACATTGTTTTACACATGCGGGCAAAACTGTGAAACTGCTACCGCTCAAGTCTAGCCGTTCGACATTGATAAATCGAGCAAGATTAATTCTAAGGACGTCATTTGATATATTAGAATACCGATACTCGAAAGTGGTCATGTTTGGACATTTCTTTGACCACAACTCTTTTTCTTGGGCTTCCTCATGATTATATGACAACAAATTTTCACCACCATAAACACTCATCTCTTTTAGTTGCGGCAATAGAGAAATGCTATCTGGGAGCTCAATCCCCTTATGCTGTCCGATATGTAAACGTTTAAGCTGAGTAAGCTTGCAAATCGACCAAGGCAATTTTTCTATTCCAGTACCTTCTAAATATAGATATTTCATCACTTCCATTTCTTCAAGTATTTCTGGAAAGTACTTTAGACTTGAGCAAAAGGTAAGAGTTATTCTTTCCAGAGAGGGTAACTTGAGATAACGTGGAAACGTCTTGAGCCGGACACACTCGCATGCACCCAAGATTTTAAGTTTTGCTAGATCGCCAATCGAATCATGAATTTCAACTAAATTCTTGCAATTTGCAAGGATTAATTCCTTCATATTTTTGAGATTGGATAGATCAGGTATCACTATAATGTATTGACAACCTTGAAGATTCAAAACACTCAAATTGTTTGAATTCTGCAATAACCAAAGCCATCTATAAAGCTTTAAAAAAATGGAGAAATTATTAAATACAATTTAGCTAACAAGAAATGGTTATAAGATAATTTTACCTGACTATTTCCATGGAACTCAAATTACTATACCCAATGTTGAATTCAACTAGCTTTTTTGGACGAAAATCAGCAGGCAAACTTGAAGAAGGATACCCTTGCCACTTGAGCACTTTTAAGCTGTTAGGAAGATATTTGAGACTTTTTGAGCATGTCACATTGTTAAAAATAAGAACTTTGAGATTTTTCATACTCTTGAAGGCTTCTCCATCCCAATCTACTTCCATGCATTTGAGCCAATTGTCTTGAATTGTAATATTGACTTCACTTGTGCCCTTTCAAGCCAATAATACATGCAAATGATGAGATATTAAAAGTTTGATGCGGTATTTTTAAATAAAAAAAATCAAAGACATACAGAAACTACCCCAAGACCCAGCTTTAAAAAAAAAAACCATTAACTCAGCTTCAAAAAAAAAAAAACCCATTAACCCAGCTTCTACACAATATATACATTAACCCAGCCCTCAAACCAACCAACGAACGGCTCCTTTTTAAGAGGCTATTCAAATGAAATTCAAACAATAGCATAAAAGTAAATATAATTTTCCTATTTATTTATTCATATATAATCTTAATTATTCTTCTTTTATTTAAAAGGAATTTACGTATTTATTCGTTTTGTATAAACATTTAAAATATCTATCTAACATTTCATTCAAATTATCTAGACAATTCTAAACCTACTGAAAATGTACACTATCATCATTTTATTTGGCAATTGAAAATTGAACCTTTTACGCTTTTTAAAATTTTTGAATTTTTTCTTATGATTGATTTACTGATTATGTATTTATTTGTGTAAGTTTGTGAACTTTTCTACAATTTTAAATCATTATATTTGATTTGTTATTCAAGGATTTTTCTTCTATAATATATCACTCTTTTGTCAAAAAAAAAGATACCAAAAATAAAAACTTGAATACTTAAAATAACAGGCATACATAATTGAATGCAAATAAGTATCACTAGACAAGAAGAGAAAATAAAATGTTGTCCGTCTATTGAAACCAACACATGACTTTAGAAAGAACAAATATACAAAATAGTCCTATAAATCCATCTTGTCATGCATAGTTAACTAAAGCCCTTTTCTTCTCTTTTTCCTGTTTGAAAACAATCTTCTAAGGAATACTATTCCATTAAACCCATTAATTCATTAAATTATATGCATTTGAAATATAAGACAAAAGCATGAGAGAATAACTTCAAATAACAAGCAATGAAATATAAATATTCACCAATAAAATGATATTTCACTGAGGAGTTATGAAAGAAGAATAAACTTACAAGGAAATATAATGAAAAGTAGATAATCTCGATTAGTGTTACTTACTGTATTGTCTTCCAAAACATGAACAATATCTTGATGAAGCCATAATATACTACGTTTTCCTAGTTCTTTTGGTGATTCTTGACGAACAATTTCTCTCCCCATGTCTTGCATCAAATCATGCATTTTAACATGAGAATATTGAACCTTTATGAGGCATTTGTTCACCAACACTCTAATACCATGACTTGGATCAAAATCATAAACATGTTTCACCATGTTTTTGACATCTTCAATATTTTGTCCTCTGAAGAAGCAAGCAATATCAAGAAAAATTTCTTTTTCAAAATCATTTAAATCATCATAGCTTACTTTCAATATCTGTTGAATATCTTTATCAGGACTTCTTTTAAATTTTTCCAATAAAGATTCCCACTCATTTATTGTCATACCATAGAATTGGGTACCAACTACTGTAAGGGCTAGTGGAAGACCTTGTGCATAAGATATAGCACTTGACATAACCTCCTTGTAACTTGATTCAACTTGGTTACCTTTAAAGGCATTCCAACCCAACAATTCAAGAGATTCTTCGTCATTGAATAACTCCATGTCATATATTCTTTCAACCCCATGTCTTTGAAGTAAATGTCTATCCCTTGTCACTATAATGATCCTACTCCCATCACCAAACCAGTTGCAATGACCAGCTAATTTTTGTAATTGCTCATCTTTGTCAACATCATCAAGAATCAAAAGGAGTTTCTTTTGTTTGAGTCTCATTTTTATGACTTCAACTCCTTTGTTGGAATTTTGTATTTTGATGTTCTCTCCAAGAATATCCAAAAGCATTGTCTCTTGCAATCCTTGTAAGCCGAGTTTCATTGAGTTTTCTTTGATGTCATTGAGAAAGCATATGCTCTCAAAATTATCAGCAATTGAATTACGCACAGCATTCGCTATTGTTGTTTTACCCAATCCTCCAATTCCACAAATTCCTACCATGTTGACATTGTCATCTAACCCAATTTGTAGTAGAGAGTTTACTTTTGACACTCGAGAGTCTAATCTAACAGGGTGTTCAACATATAGAGGAACCCTTTCAATTTTACGAGAAATTTCTTTCACAATCCTCCCAATGAACTTGTATTCATACTCATGTCTCCTGAAATTTTTATTAAAAAAAGTTATGTCAATGCTAATTTTAAGTTCATCCTATTCATTATCATATACAAGAGATTTGTCTTTATCAACTTGTAACTTGATATGAAGTTGGATAGAAGAAAAAAGAAGAGAAAAGGGGGTAATAGTTGCAATTTACCTGGAATCATAATGGAAGCCTGAAATATTAGCTATTTCATGTAACGCAAGCCTCCAATTTTGTGTCTTCTCCTCATCAGTATGCATAACTAATGCCTGTTCATAAGGCCCCTTTTGATGCCGCACTTCTAAAGGCTCAACATCATAAAAAAATGGCAAAACCATCCGATTCTTTCCCTTAACACACTGATGTATCTTAACAAGTTCATCGAGGCAAAATGTTGAGGAAGCATAGTTTTTAGAAAATATGGCAATGGCCATTCTAGAATTTTCAATTGCTTGGAGAAGTGATGGTTTAGTTTTATTCCCTTTTCTCAGTTCCTCGTCATCAATGAAGGTGCGAACTCCTGCGTTCTTTAGAGCATCATTCAGATATCCAGTAAAACCATGACGAGTATCTTCGCCTCTAAAATTGATAAAGACATCGTAGGTCCATTGGCAGTGGAAGGAAGAAGAGGTTGGTGCCAACCCTATCATGATGGCGTCCTACTCATAAAAAACGAAGAAATCATTATTAATTTACCTTAAAAAATTATGGGTATATATGATGATTACCTGGAGAAGATAATTAAGGAAATATTAAAGATCTGAATGAATTTATTACTTACCAGGAAAACTGAAGCTGCTGGTGACAAAGTAGTCGTAGGGCACACAGTAAAGCAATGGAACTACCAAGTATAAAGGATTTAATTGTATTTATCAAACTAAAATAAACAGAAAAATATAAATGTTGAGTTTGATGTGATGGCTTGGCTAATAAATAAGCCTCTAAGAAAAGAGTGCCAGTCTTTCATCTTTTTTTTTTAATTCAATTTTTAAGAATAGATTAGAACGTCTTGTACATTGTTCAGTGAATTAAAGAATTAGGATTTGCATGTATATAGAAAATAATAGCAAAAAAATACAATCAAATAATTTTTATATAATGTACTCCTGTTGATCCCTTCTATAATATAAAATATTTTCTGACAACTTTGTTTAGTTCAAAATATAAGGCATTAGATAGTTCTTACAATTTTTTTCAAATATACCCCTACTTCATCTATTATTTTTTGTAAAAAATGATTTATTAAAATTTTAATTGTCATTATTAAAATACTTATATAAAAAATTTAATAAGAGTATTAATTGAAAAGATATACAATTTTGTAATAGATTAAGGTCAACTAATTTTTTTAAAAAAATTGTGAAGTAATTAACGGTGAATTATATTATTTTACTTATAAAAAACAATAAAACATATGATAGTTTTCTTTTATAATAAAAAAAATAGAGGAAGTAAGAAATAGTGGAAAATATAATTTCATTTTTTTAATAGATTAAAAAATGTTTGAACGGCGCCCTGCTCAATTCTCAGTTCTCACCTCAGTCTTACACCTGAACTAACATAAGTTGCAATTGTAATTTCACACTCCCTCCGTTAAAAAATATATGACATTTTTAATTGAATTTTATCTTATAATAAAATAATTACCTACTTTCAAACTAACCCTATATTTTCATATTCATCCCTATTAAACACCCTATAATAAATATAAAGTCATTATCAATAGGGACACTTTTGAAAAAAAAGAGAATGATCATACCTCAAAAAACTAAAAATGCTTAACATTTTTTTAATATATAATTTCTCAAAAAATACCTTATATTTTTTAAGGGAGAGAGTATTAAGTTTGGATTAGGAGTATATTAGATAACAAATTAAAGTTCGCTATACAGGTAGCATGGAAATTAATTAGGAGTGTTTGATTAAGGGATAGAAATCAAAGGTCCACGCAAGAAACATATTTCATTAATCTAAAATTTTCTTAACCGAAGCCCATAATCTAATCTAAATATATTGATGAAGCTACCTTTTCCATTGAAGGCTTTTAGAACGAACTCCAGAATTTAAAATAACAGAGGTAGTAACTAAGTCGAAGAAATTACCAGAAAGATTGAGGCGAGAACCACAGCAAGGTTGAGATGACTAAGGACTTTGCTTGCGCCAACTCAATCAAAAGCAAGAGATTGACGCAATGGGACGACTCTCAACTGAGTGTTGGTCTTTTTTTCTTATATATTCAATTTGTTGCGACTTGTGAGAATTTTCTAGGAAACAAGTATAAGAAACCAACAAGGAAACCATAAAGAAGCTTGACAGGAAGATGATAGGAAGGACCCGCGAAGGCTGCTTTACAATATTAGAGAGGAAGGCTTCACATGGAAGCCTCAATGAAAAGCCTCGCCTTGCGTGAGTTAAAGTGTAGTCTTGATTTACTATTTTATCCTTTTTATATTATTTGATTAACTACTTCTTTTTATATTATTCATTTGAATAAATATTTTCCATCTGGGTTTTATATTGGCCAATTTTTTATATCCTTTTAACTTTCCTTTTTTATTTTGGGAATGAAAAGAAAATTCTCAAAGTAAAAATTAATAACAGTTAAGTTTTTAACAAAATTTTTTAAAATATGAGCTGTAAATATAATTTAGATAGATGTAAAAAAAATCTCAACTTGAAATTAGAGTTGCATTTAGAATTTAAATTTTTTATTTGTAACCAGAACTTCTGAATTTGTAATTATTGTATAAATTGATATTTGTAATTTATCTTAAAATCTAATTGTAATTAATTGTCTCTCTTTTGAAACTTAATTATCGTTCTTCCTTATATTTTTGTTATACCAAGAAAAGTCTAAATTATTGTTTGTGAAGTTTGTTGTTTATGAGATATCTCTACTCATTTTCTCAAATTTTTATTGATGGCGGATTTGAAAAAGGTATTATTGAAACACACAATTTTTCATCATATAATTTTTTTAAGCTCTTTTAATTAGAAAATGAGGCTTATGAATTTGAAGACAAAGACCCATGAAAATTGCCTATTCTTTTCCTACAATTTTCAGAAAGCTAATAAATATGATCAAATACTTCTTCGAGGCCATTGATTGGCAGGGACGGATCTAATTTTCAGCTCCCTTTAAAAATTATTTAATTTTTCTTTAGAAAAATTGCTAAAATTGATTCTACCTCCCATATTTCACCTTATTTAAAATTTTGCCCCCATATTTTACGCTTTGGATTCGTCCCTGTTGATTGAAGAAAAAATTTAAATGAGAGAAAAATTGTTAGTCCTTGTAATAACAATTCATTTAATATTCGGTTCTTAAAATACTTCTCTTGTTTTGGGTACATCCAATATGTTTTATGAAAATTAAAATATATAAAATATATTAAATTTATTTAAAAATTTAATAAGTTTTTGATTTTATTTCTATTGTGTGTGTGTATATATATAATTTATAACATTTTTTCTTTCACCAATGTATAATAAAAGGTAAAACAATTATAATAAAAATTTAATGATAACACTTTTGAATAAAACAAAAAATCTTGTCTCCATATTTTATAAATTGGATTAGTGTGAGTATGACTGAGTGTTCAAAATGTAGTCTTTTATCTTTTCTAAAAAATTTGTCTCTATCATTTATAACTTAGTCCAGGTCATAGCTCACTAACTCAGTTATCGTACGAGTAAAAAATGTTATTACTACCGTTAACAATTGTTGTCATTGCTGTCAAGTCAAGTAGATGATAGGAAGGACCCTCGAATACAACTTATTAGAGAGGCAGGCTGGACGTGGAAGCCTTGCGTACGTTATTCTTGATTTACTATTTTACCCTTTTTTATTTGAAGGTTTTTGACAAGAAAATTCTCAAAGTAAAAATTAACTGTAGTTAAGTTTTCAACAAATTTTTAAAAAAATTATAAATATTAATTCAAAAGGCCATAATAAAAATTTTAACTTCAAATTAGAGTTGCATTTAGAACTTCTAAATTTATAATTATTTAAATCAATATTTGCAACTTATTTTTTTAAAAAAAATATTGAAAAATTAATTATCATTAATTATTTCTTTTGAAACATAACTGTTATTCTTTTTTATATTTTTGTTAACAAAAAATTCTAAATTTTGTAACTACCCACTCTTGATTTTTATTATTGTTTGTGAAGGCTCTTGTTTAGAAGAAACTCTTCCTCATTTTTTCAAATTCTTAAGGACAGGGGATTTGAAAAAGGCATTATTGAAACACATTTTTTTAATTATATTATTTTTTAAAACTCTTGCAAAATCAAATGTTTGGATGTGTCTCCTTTTGCATAATTTGAGTGCGGAACTAGTGGTCCCTCATCTATTGATGTCTTTATTTTAATGTAAACGTGAAGACCAAGACCCATCAAATTAGGGCCAAGTAAGTCTATGAAGTCTTGGAGATGAAATAATTAAAAAAAAATCTTTTAATTTTTATCGTGATTACAATTCACTTAAAACCTGGTTCTCAAAATACTCCTATTCTGCAATATTTATTAGTCACTTTCGCCAAAATTAAAGAATATTTTAAAATTTATTAACTCTAAAAATTTAATAGATTTTTATTTTTATCTTTATTAAATATAAGGTAAATGATTAAATTATTCTTTGAACTTTAAATCCAATAGCAGACACTGAACTTGTTTATTGGACAAATTATTTCTTTAATTTTTTAAAATGGTACAATATAACTCATAAAAATTAATTGGTAGCACTGAAATTAATTGGGAGTATTTGATTGAAGGATAGAAATCAAACGTTGACGCAAGAAACATATTTTATTAATCTAAAATTTCTCTACCGAAGCCCATAATATAAATATATTGAAACTCCCTTTTCCATTGAAGGCTTTTAGAAAGATCTCCTGAATTTAAACTTACAGAGGTAGTGAGAAAGACAGATATTATCAGAAAGATTGAGACGAGAACGACAATCAAGATTGAGAAGACTAAGGACTTTGCTTGCTCCAACTCAAATCAAAAGCAAGAGATTGATGCAATAGGATGACTCTCAAATGGGTGTTGGTATTTTTCACCTTATATATTCAATTTGTTGCAAATTTACATGGCAACTCGTGAGAATTTTCTGAGAAACAAGTAGAAGAAACCACAAAGAAAACCATGAAGATGTTGGCACGAAAATGACAGGAAGACCCGCGAAACATACTTTATTTTTGTTTGTTGACTTATTACTATATATTTTACTTCTTTTTATATTATTCTTCTTTTGCATAATTTGAGGGGAGAAATAGTGATCCCTCATCCAGGTGTTGACGTTTCTTTTTTTTTTAATTAAAAAAGGCAAGCAAAAGCTTGATTACAAAATAAAACTAAACAGTGTGAGGAAATAATTCTCTGTCACGCATGACAGCAGAGGCGCATTCAGGAAGAATAACCGCATAG